TATTTTTTTAACATGTTATTTCTCATATTAAAATATTATCTTAAATTTTTTCGTATGAGGGTGTAAAACATAAAGAGCTTGTGTTAATGTAAAACAATTTTGTGACTCTGATTCGTGCTGTTTTATAGATTTTATAACCTTAATAACATAAAACGCATTTAAAATAAAACCAAGCAAATAAATAAAACTGTCATAATTAAAACATTACATTAACATTACATTTAACAATGATTTGATCGTCATTAAAACATTATATTAAAACTTTATATTTGCGCAAAAACATGCCTATAGACCATATGAGTCTAAAATCTATAGACCAAACGAGTAAGATCAAAGCAAAAAATCATTAGATACCACGTTTTTTATAACTTATTGTTTCTTGATCTAGTGTACAATTAAAAATTTAAGAATAATTAAGTTTTTCATTCAAATGGTTTTTTAATTGATGAATTCATTCAATTTTTTTATTCAAATTATTTTCCAATAAAAAGTGAAACAAAAAAATTTGGTTTAACAAATCGAATTATATTTCCTTAATTTTAAGAATATCCTTAAATTATTTTTTCAGAAAAAAATTTCTTTGAACAGAAGTAAAATAATTTATTAATTTTTATTTAAATATTTTATAATTTAATTTTTATTTTAACTTTTTTTTTTAACTGGTTTAATGGTTGCAATAATTTTTCTACTTTTAAAACTATTTTTAAGAAACAATTATCAATTCAAAACGTTTACAAAATTTATGATTTACGAAAAAAAAACTTTCTTCCTCATTCTCCCTTGTTTCTTCAAATTCTTTTAAAATTTTGCAATTTTTTTTTATTTATTTCAAATTTCTATTGCAAAATTATTTGAATAACAGAATTTTAAAAGAATAAAATTCTTTTGTTCAAATAGATTTTTTATTAATTAAAATTCCTAAAAGCAACTTGTGTATTTATATATGAAAATGTTTCATCTTGATATTGCTTTAAATAAAATGAAAATATAAAAAAATGGCGTTGCGTTTTTCATATTCTATTCGACAATTTTTGTCAAAATAATTTTTAGTTAAAAGCTTATATTATGTCTTAACAACATATAAGATATAAAAAGAAACATTTGTGTGTGAGTCTTGAGTATATTAAGTGTATTATAGTCTTATATTAAGTCTTGAGTATAAAGAAATTAATATAGTTGGTAAGTTAATATTTGAGTACTGTAAGATACTGTAGAAACTGAACTGGTTGTTTTGATTTAGTTTATAAGTGAATTTACTGTGATGTACTTTATCCATTCAGTAAACCAAAGTAAATATAACTTTTAATGATTGTTAAAGTGATTGTAAAGGTTGTTAAAGTGAAAAACATTGAAGCATAAAAGTTGCTGGTTTTATGTGATATGCTTAATTGGAGATTGTGATATGCTTAATTGGAGCCCTGGAAGGGTCGATAACTAATTGAGTACATTACCGTTCATAAATATAGAAAGATCTAAATTATTGCAATAACGATTGGCTGAAAAAGATCGAGCTTTATCTGGATTAAAGTTCACCAGCCACTGTGAGCCCTATGCTGCAGCAGAAGTAAGATCCTTAGATGCTCCCTCGAAACAATTAGCGAGTGTTGGCTTCTTTTCATGACAAGAATAAATGGAAGTGTCATCAGCAAACAATGCCAGCTTAGATGTGAGAATATCTAGAAGATCGTTAATGTAAATTAAAAAGAGTATAAGGCCATAGGTTGAACCTTAAGGAAACCCTGAAGTTACAGGATATGAAGTAGAGTGCTGTCTGTCGAGGACAAATTTTATACTACGATTAGAAAGGAAGGACTCAATAATCTTAAAGATGTTATCAGATAGACCATAAGAAGAAAGCCTATGGAAGACCAACAAGCCAAACTTTATCAAAAGCTTTAGAAATGTCAAGAGCAATAGCCTTAACCTCTCCACCTGTCTAATGCACGATAAAACCTATCGGTTTTTACTGTTAGCAAATCAACTGTAAAACAAGAAAATCGAAATCCATATTGATGATCAGAAAGTAAGTTATTAGATTCAAGATGAGAGATTAAGTGTTTGTTAATTAAAGATTCAAAAACCTTGCTTATGATGGGAAGAAAGCTAATGGGACGGTGGTTAGACAAGAAGGTAAATATTTGGGTTGTCTGGAAAGCGAGTTGGAAAGTTGACTATTTGAGTTAGGGATTGAGAAAGGCAAAAGTTGTGGGTTTTAACGCCTGCAGAGTCACTGACACTAGAGCCAAGCCATTCAGTGTCTTGTGCATTAAAGTCACCAATAACAACAATATTGGCTGATAGATAAAGAGAGAGGGTTTGGTCAGAGACAGAGAGAGGGTTTGGTCAGAGACAGAGAGAGGGTTTGGTCAGAGACAGAGAGAGGGTTTGGTCAGAGACAGAGAGAGGGTTTGATCAGAAATAACATCAAAAAGTAGTCTTGAGAAGGAGATATAGAAAAAAGAGAAAGGCGATAGAGTAAAGTGTTTCTAAACAAAAGTATAGTCTGTGGATTCATTTCATTTAAATCTTTTAATAATTTTATGATCATGTGGTTTCAAATAATCTGAGAAATTGAGTACGGCATCTGAGAAATCTGTGCGTGCAACAAATCAAATCAAAATCTTTAGAGTTTTATTGTTCTTATGAATTTTTACGATCCAGAAAAAGCGGGAAAAATTAACTTTTGGGTTTAAGCAGCCGTGGTGCAGTAGAAGGGCACTTTCCTAAAAAAATAAGGAATCCGTGGTTCAAACCCACCTTTGGTTTTGCAACATCGGTTAGGAAGTAGGAGTGAATTTCCTGTTAATTGCTTTTCCAAGGTGCTCTGTTATAAGACCGTAAGGACTTATTAGGGTACATAAAATAAACATATATATAATTCATAAGAGAAACTATTATTGGTACCTCTAATTTTTCCGGAATTTTTGTGTAAAAGTTCCAGATAATAAAAACCCCATATTTAAATAAAGAAAAAAAATATTCTTCTGGAGACCACGGAGTCCATGATTTTTGAGCTCAGAGTCCGGAGTCCAAGAGTCCCAAAAATCGATAGAACTTCGCATCCCTGATATATATATATATATATATATATATATATTATATATATATATATATATATATATATATATATATATATATATATATATATATATATATATACACACACATACACATCAGCCCTCTGAATTAGGGTTGGCATTCAGCAATTCCAACCTAAATGCCAAGTTAAAAGTGTTTGAGGTCAGCAAAAAAAGCTGACCTTGTTTCTATATTTTATGGTAAGACCTTTATGTCAAAATTTTATTGCCGACCTGATGCCAACCTCTATTAGTTTATGGTTGGCAGTTTATTGCCAACCTTATTTTTCCGAATGTATGTATGTATGTATGTATATATATATATATATATATATATATATATATATATATATATATATATATATATATATATATATATATATATATATATAATATATATATATATATATATATATATATATATATATATATATATATACAAAAATATATAAATATATATATATATATATATATATATATATACAAAAATATATAAATATATATATATATATATATATATATATATATAAAAATGTAGCAACACAAATATAAATGCAGCATTAGATATATAGACAGTAATATATCATCATCATTATATATATATACATATATATATATATACATATATATATATATATATATATATATATATATATATATATATATATATATATATATATATGTATGTATATATGTATATATGTATATATGTATATATGTATATATATATATATATATATATATATATATATATATATATATATATATATATATACATATATATATATATATATATATATATATATATATATATATATATATATATATATATGTAGGGCGTGAAAAATCTTTTTTTTTAAATGTTGACGTTCGTTTCTTTATTTATTGACGAACGTCTAATTTAAGAGTTTAAGAGGTATGTCAAATATCCACCCCACCCTCCTCCACACATACACACTTTTTTTAAAAAAAATTTTATATATTTTTTTATTTAAGAGAAATTCAAGATATAGAGGACTTTTTTCATTAATAGATGGTTGCGCACCTCCACTTCAAACCCGTGTGTCGGCCAGAATAAGCCAGTTTCATTTTAACTTCTTTAATTTTTTTTTTATTTAAATAATTTTTTTATTTAATTATAAGGGAGTTTTATTTTCAAATAAATTTTATTCTAGTTAATAAGATATAACAAATAACAATTAGATATATCAAAAATACTTATCGAATTTTATCAATTTTTTATTAATTTAAAACAATTTTTCACGCATTTGCAAAGTGTGCGCAAATTAATGATAACTAATATGCAATAACCTTTTCACTGTTCACTGTTAATACAAAATAGTGAATTTTTCTCAATTTAGTTTGTTAAATTATAAAAAAAAGATATAAACTTGATAAAATTAAAATAAAAGGGAACTATAAAAAAATAAAATAAAAGTTATTTTGACATTTTTATTTTTTAAATATATATATATATATATATATATATATATATATATATAATATATATATATATATATATATATATATATATATATATATATATATATATATATGCAAGATAAATTGTAAACAGAACTAAGTTGTCATTAATTATAAACTTATGCTGCAAAGTAGCTATAGAATAGCAGTAAAATTACAACTTTAGTGCCAGTAGAATTACAACTACTGCAGATATCTAGTGATCAGTACAACTACTGCAGATATCTAGTGATCAGTACAACTACTGCAGATATCTAGTGATCAGTACAACTACTGCAGATATCTAGTGATCAGTAGATTTAAAAAAGTTTAATTAAAAAACTTTATTTGAAAAAATTTATCTACTGGGGTGTTAATCATGTTTCTACTTCCATTTTAAATCATGTGTATGTAAGTATATTTAAAACATGAATAAATATAAAAACTTTAATTCTAACATACCAATATCTGTGATAAGATACTAGCATTCTTTCGCGTACTTCTCCTTCAAATCGCAGATCGACAACAATCAGCATTACACCATATAAGTATAATGATTCACACTAGGTAAATAAATTGAAAGAATAGCAGGGAGGAAAAAAAGAACTAGAAGAAACTTAATGTCAAGAAAAATAGTTGCTTAGAATTAAATATACAAAAATGGCAAATGTTTATTATAATCTAAAAACAAACTACAGCATTGTTTATGTCATACATTAGAACAACAAAATAAATTCTTTAAAGGATACATTTGATTAAAAGCTTTTTTAAGGTAATAATAATTAGTTTTTGCTACAATTAATTATAATTTAAAAAAAAACACTATAAAAAATTTTCTATCTATATATTTGTGTGTGTGTGTGTGTGTATATATATATATATATATATATATATATATATATATATATATATATATATATATATATATATATATATATATATATATATATATATATATATATATATATATATATATATATACACACACACACATATAAAACAACAGATTTCTTAATATAATTCAAATCATAACACACATATAAAACAACAGAATTCTTAATATAATTCAAATCATAGGGAAATAAAATGTTACTCAAGAGTTTTGAATATCTAACAGCAATCTAACACTGTTATATGAGACCTAGACAAAATAAAAAAAGTTGTTTAAAATATGCGATTTGTTACAATTGTCTAAACAAAGGAAATTATTAGAACTGACAACTGGTGCAATAGAATGATGAAACTTGTGGATATTTTCTTTATTAAGAATATCTTTCTTTTTATTAATAGTACTATTTATTATCTCAGCATCATATAGATATCAGCAATTATTGTAGTTGGTGAAAGTGTGCAGGTTAGAGTTTTTTTTGTTTTTTTGGTATAAATTACGTTTCTTGGATGCCAAATTACAAACTGTGTGAGGTTGAATACTTTGTTTTTTTACAAAGTGCTGAAACGTGTGATAAAATACTTTAGTTCGAAAAAAAAGATAAAAACAATTCATGCAAGAATAATTGAACATCATGGTACATTATTTATCTAAAATATAATCATGTTAACCAGAATCAGGTTGAAATACATCTTGTTGCTTTTTAAGTTTGTGGATTATTATATAACTAGTGTCTGTAACTCTTTTCCCTAACCATCTCCAAGTTCTATAAACTGATCAAAACAAAAAATAAAACTGCTTCAACACTGATTGATTAACCATTATTTTGTTTAAGTTGATTAGGGTACTGTGATTGAGAGTGGATAATAAAAAAATGAGCTCTTAGATTTTTCAAAGCAAGATACTAAGAGTTCAATGAAATTTAGAACATCTACTGTCAAATTGTTGCATAACTGTCTGCCATAGCCTTTAGTTTATCAAAAAATTATTTTCATTCTCTAAAACCATATACAAATACTTGGTCATTAGTTCTTTACCTAGACAATCATCATATAGTGCACGAATGCATTCTTTGTTTTCAACTGAGCAAACAGATTTTAAAATTATACTTTTAAACATTTCACCGATGTATAATGCATCCATAATAAATTTATCATTTTGGTGGTAAGAACAAACACATAAAATGCAAAATTTAGGTCTAAACAAATTTGAATTAACTCATTTGGATTTCTAGATTATTTGTTTCAAATCTAAAATAACTTTTACTTTTTTAGTTTCTTTCTTATTTAAAGATAATCAAACAAGTTCTATAATCTACTTATAGATTATAGATTTATCTTGTAAATATCAATATCTATTTCTTTCAATCGATGTCTATTAAAAAAAAGACCAAAATATATACCAATAACTGTTTTCCATCATTTGATAAAAGCACTGTTTCCATTGTTTGCTGAATAAAAACGCCCTCATCAAGATCTGCAAGAAATCTAAACACATTTGTAAGAATATTTGTATTTATGAAGTAACAATAATAATAAGTAATGCATAATGTAATAAATGTAAAAATATTATTATGTAATAATAACAACAACATCAAATAACATCAATAACAACAATAATAACAATTATAGTTATAACACCAATAACAATAATATACATTAATAATAGCTATTAATATTAGTAATAATAATATTAGTAATAATAAAAGTTATTGCTCTAATCTAAAGCTTTCGACAAAGCTTTAGATTAGAGCGATAACTTAATACATCAATCCATTTTTTATGCATTTAAAATCACCAATCATTACCACTCTTTATTTTACCAAGAGCCATAGACCAACCAAAAGCCATACCAATGTTGATGCAACATAAAATAACATTTTACATGACATCAACATTAAAGATAAAAGCCTGTTGTTTGTTGATTTCTACTTACTAACTTTTCTTAAACAGATAAAACTTTTGAAAAAATAAATTAGATACTAAAAACTTTTCATATAAGATGAATTTAAAAAAAAAAAATTATACAATTTTAGTGATTAAATTTATATTTGAAAAGTCACAAACATGTGTACCATTGCATGTGTATCATTTAAATAATTTATTACAGCCTCAATACCATTTAATGTTGGTTTTTGTCACAAATAATTATGTTTCTTTTTTTAGTAACTACTAAGAACATGATGCTAACTTTTGATGCAATGACGATTCATTATATTTAAAACATTTTATTTTTTTATAAAAATTTAATTAAAAATTTTCTCTGCTCATCAAGTTTATGTTTCAGAGATATATAGATCAGATATGTTTCAGAGATATATAGATCAAATCAGGGCTGTGGAGTCGGAGTCTTTAAAAACAATTTTAAAAACAATTTAAAAACAACTTTATAAACAACTTTCTGTCACTTTCTTGCTCTCTAACTTTTTTTTTGTTTTTTGTAAACAATCCATTTAATTAATGATTGCTGGCAGACTTATTGGGAGTGAATTGATTTGGTAATAAAAAAAGATATGTAGTAAAAAGCTTTTTATTGCATCCAAACACTTTAAACACTCTCTTTATATTTTTCAGCTGCTGAGTTGACTTGATAAGTTAACCAGACTTTTCAGGTTTTTTGTTTCCATATATAGTCTTGAATGGTTGACTTAAGTATTAGTGTCATTACTATAACATAAAATCATATACTGTCATAATAACACTAAAATCATTTAATGTCAAATTTACAATAAAATCAGATAATGCAGGCTTGTTTAGGCAGCAGATGTGATTGCACTCTATTCCTATATATGCATATAATATTTAGTTGTGACAGCATGATTGCGGTTTTTTAGATGTTTTGAGAACATTCAAATTTATGTATGTTTCCATGTATGTCTGAAATATTGTTTCAACACGCTTAAAAAATTAACTTTGTAACATTAATCTTTTGTTATTATGTTTTTATATTATCAAAATGCTTTTAAACAAGTGGAGTTATTACATTTATTTTTTGTTTATAAAAAGAAAATTTTTAATTTTTTTTTTAATTATATAAAGTATATTATATAAATTTAGATTAGTTTTTTATTATTCAAATGTAAATCTTTTAAAACAATTTTTACAATTAAATTTATAAAAACAAGACAACAAATGTGTTTTTAACAAACTATCGTTTATATGCATTTTAAAACTAATAATCTAATAAACATACAGGAACTTACAAACAACCGAACACAAACATACATATATAGATAGTGAATTATAAGTGGATGAACACTGCGCCAGTGGATCGAACAAAACACAAACATGCATTTATATAAAATGAATTATGGGTAAACCAGCATTGCGCTAGAGATTTATACAGAACACAAATATATCAAAAAGTCCACTCACTAAATATCATCATTGGTATCGTGAAGCAGTTAGGTTTCCTCTTCATAAATTATTTTTACCTTTTTAGTTTAACCATAAAAGTTTGCTTTTAAATAATTCAATACAATAAAAACTTTTAGTTTGCAAAATACAAAATAAAATTACAATTCACTTAGAATGTAATACACCTCTTAAATATTATTTTGTAATATACATTATGGTATACTAAACCAATGGGCTTGAGTAAAACATAAAGTTATTAAATGTATACTTATTGTTTCAAATATTTTAAACTTTGCAAACTACGCAAAGCATGAAATGGTTATAAAAAAATTATATTTTTATTTATTATATAACTCAACTAGCTTTAGCTAGTTGAGTTAGCTAGAATTTTGTTTTCGTTAGCTAGAATTTTGTTGAAATAAAACATAAATATACAAAAAAAGAACTATACTACACTCTTTGATAAATTGAGAGACATTTGTTTCCTTATTAAACGATCATTAATAGTATATTGTTACTTCATATAAAAGAGTGTTGTTTAGTTTTATAAAAAAATAATTATAAGAGAGAGAAGTTTAGAGTTATTAATTTTAAATGTAATTTATATTTTTAGCTAAGTTTTATTTTTATTAGAAATTCATTTCTTTCTTTAGCGATTTTTTGAAATTGTTTCCTGTCAGATAAGCTTTTTTTGCGCATTTTTTAAATGTTCTCAAAACATCCAAGTTGTCACAACTAAATGTTATATACTTGGTCAGATATAGAATGCGATTGCACTCGCTTCTGATCAAGCATGATACTGTCATATTAACACTAAAATATATGGTGCATATTAATACTAAGCTCATATACTGTCATATTAACATTAAAATCATATAGTGTCATATTATCACTAAAATCATAAACTGTCACATTATCATTAAAATCATATACTGTCATATTACAGGGTTATTCATTCTAATATGTGTGTCTATTCATTTTTATACGCATGCTTATTCATTTTTATATGCCCATTTATTCATTCTTATATGCATGTTTATTCATTCTTATATATGTTTTAAAAAAGCAATTTGAACAAAAAAAAATCATTTAAGTAATTTGTTTTGAAAAAACAATTTATTTTTTCAAAACAAATTTTTCTTATTTCCTGGTAAACAAGGTTAAAAATACTTAAGCTTTATCTTAAGTATTTTTAAGTACTTTTTACATTCGATGATGGTTTATTTAATTTAATATTAAGTCTGTGTTTAATTTTGTTATTAAATTTCTTGATTAATCAAATTATTATTTATCTAGTTATTCTTTTATCTAGATTTAAATTTAAACTTTTGTCTTTCTCAATCCCTAACTCAAATAGTCAACTTTCCAACTCGCTTTCCAGACAACCCGAATCATTTACCTTCTCTACTCGACTTATGTCTTGTTTCTGATTCTAGTCAGTGCTCAGTTTCTCCACACTCACCCTTAGGTGCTTCTGATCATGGTTTGGTCTCTCTAAAACTATTATCTCATTCTTCTTTACCATCAGAATCCCCATATCATTTTACATCTTACAACTACCTTAGAGCTAACTGGGACCCTTTCCATGACTTTCTTCGTGATGGCCCCTGGGTAGAAATCTTTCGTCTCCCTGTTGACAAATGTGCTTTTTACATAACTTCGTGGATTCAGGCTGGCATGGAATCCTTTATTCCCTCTCAACGATTCCAGGTCAAGCCTCACTCTTCTCCATGGTTTTCCTCACATTGTGCTGCTGCAATTGCCAATCGAAACCATTACTTCCATATCTATCAGCAAAACAATTCTCCAGAAAACAGATGTCTGTTAATTACTGCTAGGAACCATTATAAAAAGGTTTTGTCTAATGCCAAAGCCCGCTATTCTCAGATCATGAAATCTCGTATTTCATCACAAAAATTAGGCTCTCGTGACTTCTGGAGAATCTTTAATAGTATCAATAATAAGGGCAAGTCTGTAATTCCACCTCTTTTGTATGGTTCAGACTTAGTCACCTCACCTAAAGACAAACTTGAACTGTTTGCTAAGAACTTTTCATCAATATCATCTCTTGATTCCACTAGTTGCATTCTACCTGATATAGCCATCAAGCAGGTTGATCTATTGCTCGACATTCATATCACGCCAGCTTCTGTATCTAAAGTGATTTCCCGCTTAGACTCTTCTACAGCTTGCGGCCCAGACAACATACCTGTTATAGTCTTGCAGAAGTGTTCTCCAAAGCTGTCGCCTATCCTTTCAAAACTATTTAACAAGTGCAGGCCTTGTTTTAAAGCGTTACGCCTAGAGCGATTTACGTACGCCTTAAGCGCTTTTTACGTACGCGTAGAGCTGTTTTGGTTAAGCTACTTTTTATCATTTTTTAACTTTTAAATTAGCGGTAACATAAAAGAAGTAATTAATTTTCAAAAAAACCACATTAACTTTTAAATATTGATATGTAAAGGTATTTATTAAAAAAAAAAGAATTTACTTTAAAATTAATTGTTGTAACTTTTCATCACGATATATCTTCAATTATCAATTAATTTGACGCTAAACTTTTTATCCAAATATTTAGCAACATGAAAAATTGTTTGTCAATTAACTACAAATTTTTTGCAATGTTTTTAATAAAAAGTAGTAAAGTTTTTAGTAAAAAACTTTTAAAAAATCTATATTCCATATTTATTAATACAGAATATAAAAGTTTTTTGTAATATAGATTTTTTACAAATTTTTTACTGAATTTATAATAAAAAACATTTGCAAAAAAATTTGTAATTAAGAATTGACATTTTTTTAAAATAAAATCTCAAAAAATGTCTTAATATTTTTGTTATTATGATAACAAAAATATCAAGACATTTTTTCGAGATGTTAAAAAAGATGTCTTTGCTTTTCTTATTAGTTTAATAGTATATAGCTTATAGTTAGTTTAATAGTATATAGCTTTTCTTATTAGTTTATTAGTATATAGTTTAAGTTATGCGGGGGGAGGGGGTCGGCACAGAAAAAAAAATTACCTGTTACTCGCAATATTTGAATGAAGACAATTTGTTAAAATTCTTCTGCGTGCGATTCAATAAGTTTTTTTTGTCATAAATCAAGTTATAATATAAGGTAAAGAAATCATGAGTAGACTACAACATCCGCTGATGACACTAATATTACGTTGAATATATTTATATAACGGAGGTTTTATTATGCACGCGCACATTACAGGTTCCGTTAAATAAATACTAAGGCACGTTTTAGTTTAATGACAGTCTCCATTTTTTACTAATGAATATGTATTTTTCTTTATAAAACAAAACAAACTAGTATATAAAAACCTTGTATATTTCTATTATCTCTAAATTATTTAAAGTTCGAATATGGATTGTATTTTGAAGGACAAAAGATTTACTTTAAAAACTTTTAAATCTTGGGACTTTGCCGATGCGATGATCACAGAAAAAGAGAAGACTTACGTTATTAAAATCAAATGTAAGTTATGTGATCTTCATCAAAATAAAATATTATCCAAAAACAATAGTGCCGTAAAGGCAACTGCCCAACGGTTTATAAATAATACAAGTCATGTTAAAATATTTTAACATGTTACTATATTTTAATTAAGTTGATATATAATTAAAAATAAAAATATAGTTCAATAAATAAATTAAATTTATTCTTAACAAAGATTACCTCATATTTATTCTTTTTTTTATTTTATTAAGTTAAATTGCTTACAAACGAAAAAAAAAAAAAAGAGTTTTGTAATTATACGTAGAATGAAAATACTTTTGAGTTTGTTTATAAGTTAAGGAACTTAATTTTTAATAAACAAATTTTTACGAACGTTTATTATAAACAGATACGATTTAAATTGTTAAATATACTTAAATTATTTCAGTTGAGTATTTTTATAAGTTTGCACGATTAAAGTTTGGCGTACAAGTATTTGTTTTTTTGTTTTAAGAATAATTAATAAAAGAGTTTGCATAATTAAGACTTTTATATTTAATTTAATTTTTTTTTTTAATTTTTTAAAATTAAAAAAAAAAAAAAGATTTAATCGTTGAAAACGATTTTTCTCTATAGCTCTGTTTCTTTGTGATTTGTTTAAAAAGTTAAATATTTTTACAATAACATAAAAAGTTTATGAATTAAATTCCTAGCGAACATTTCTAAACTACGTATCAAAAATACGCTTCAAAGCAGACAAAACTTTTTTATATTTTTATAAAACGCAAGTTGAAACGCTTTTAAAAATTTTAAAAATATTCAAAAACTTAAATTTTTCTTTGCTAGTCAAAACAAAATCGTTGTTTAAATAATTAACATGGGTTTGTGTTTATCAATGTTAATATTTTTTGTTTACTCTAGAAATTTTTAAAAATAAAAAAAATCATTATTTTTTATTCAATAACGATTAAAAACAATTATTCAAAAACAAATTTCAGAAATAATTAATATATATATATATATTTTTTTTACTAAATAATATTGAACTAAAATTAATAATAAAATAACAATTGAAAACATTACAAAATTTTCATAATAAATTTATATTTAAAACATTTATAGTTTATATTTGAGTTAATTGTTAAATTGAATTAGTTTGCGGTTATTTATTTATTGCGGTAGTTAAAACACTTAACGTCTATAAAAAAAAATAAAGATAATTTTATGACGTCAAAATTGCGTTAAGCTAATGCATTAAGCACTTTTTTATTTAAAACAAGGCCTGCAAGTGCTTATCAGAGTCTTGTTTTCCAGCCTGCTGGAAAGCAGCATCTGTTATCCCTATTTTTAAAAATTCTTTAGAGCAATCCGATTCGTCTAACTACCGTCCCATTAGTCTTCTTCCTATCATAAGCAAGGTTTTTGAATCTTTAATTAACAAACACTTAATCTCTCATCTCAAATCTCATAACCTACTTTCTGATCATCAATATGGATTTCGATCTTCTTGTTCTACGGCTGATTTGCTATCAGTAATAACCGATAGGTTTTATCGCGCATTAGATAAAGGTGGAGAGGTTAAGGCCATTGCTCTTGACATTTCTAAAGCGTTTGATAAAGTTTGGCATGCTGGTCTTCTCCATAAGCTTTCTTCTTACGGTGTATCTGGAAACATCTTTAAGATTATTGAATCGTTTCTTTCCAATTGTAGTATAAAAGTTGTCTTTGATGGACAGCACTCTTCTTCTTATTCTGTAACCTCAGGGGTTCCTCAAGGTTCAATCCTTGGCCCTATACTCTTTTTAATTTACATTAATGATCTTCCAGATATTCTCACATCTAAGGTGGCATTGTTCGCTGATGATACTACCATTTATTCAATCGATGAGTCTCCTACCCTTCATCTTTTAGGATTAACTCTCACTTCTGATCTTTCTTGGAAACCTTATATCAAATCCATTGCAAAATTAGCATCTGCTAAAGTTGCTTCTCTTTATCGAGCTCATCACTTTCTTACTCTGGATTCTATTCTCTATCTCTATAAATCTCAAATCCGGCCTTGTATGGAATACTGTTGCCATATCTGGGGCGGATCTTCTAATGATGCCCTTTCTCTTTTAGACAAGGTGCAAAAACGCATTGTAAACATAGTTGGACCTGCTCTTGCAGCCAACCTTCAACCTCTGTCACATCGTCGTAATGTTGCTTCTCTTTCTCTTTTCTACAAATACTATAATAGGCACTGCTCAAAAGAGCTAGCGTCTCTAGTGCGATCTACTAAAATTCATTCGTGTTACTTGTCATTCAATTAAGTCTCATCCTTTTTCTGTTACTGTTCCTAAGTGCTCCAAAAACTCTTATTTGTCTAGTTTTTTTCCTCAAACATCAGTTCTTTGGAATTCGCTTCCTTCATCTTGCTTTCCTGATTCATATAATTTGCAATCTTTTAAGTCGTCTGTCAATCGTTATCTTGCTCTACAATCTTCATCTTTTCTCTTCCAGTAACTTCTAACACTAATTAGTGATTGCTTGCAACCTTGTTGGAAGCGAAGATAATAAAAAAAAAAAAATTATTGATAATTATTATTAATACATCTATAAAAGCCTATTTATTGTTTATATTAAATTATATTAGAGATTTTATGGGTGGTTGACTCGCATATATACGCCTAAATAAGAATGAATAAACAAGCATATAAGAATGAATAAACATGCATATAAGAATGAATAAATGCGCATATAAGAATGAATAAAAACGCATACAAAAATGAATAAACACGCATATAAAAAATGAATAACCATGTAACACTTGAGCATATTTACATCTTACAATTATATGAAACAACAGAAAACTAGATACAGAAAATAACATTTATAAATAAGAGTTCTTGCATGCATCAATTGGAACAGTTTATCAAACAAAAATTATTTTTATAACAACACAACAAGTTTAAGAAATAAAATACAAACTTAGAAACATATTACCTGTTTAAATCTGTCACATACTTAAAAATACTTTCAAAAGCTAAATAAAATCGTGTTAAGATCTCAAGGTGACTCTCCTTGAATTCATCATCAAGATCTTGAAGATCCTAAAAAAATTTAAAAAAATTAACATTTTGAAAATATATTCATTTATTTAAAAGGCTAAATATATTTTAAATAACCTTAATTATTATTTTTAACATCTATTTTAATTAAGTTTTTTTAAATTGTCAAGTATATCTGCAACTCTTATTGTTTTTACACAAGCAGATACAAGTGCAAATGAAGAATATTATTTGAAAATTTGATTAATTGATTCACTCTTTTGTTCAATTTTATTTAAAAAATAAAATTATGTTAAGCTGTGAAATCAAATGTAAATTAATAATATATCAAATATATTTAAAAGTAAAAAATAAAAAATAAAAATACTTTTAAATACATTTGATATATTTATTAATATTATGAACTCATGAATGTATGCTTGCAAAGTTTTAATGTTTTCTGATTACAAGTATAAGCGTATATTCTTATTAAAGCAGTTGCAGTTGGTTTTAGGTGAAACTTTGATGTTTTTTATAATGTGATGATTGAGTGTATTTAAAATAGATTTGATATTTGGCATACAGTTGTTACTAATTTAAAATTTAAAATTTTATGAAATTTATGACATTAAGAAATTTTTATCAATTAAGGTTAAAAAGCTTTTCCTATGAATCAAATTATGTTGTGCTTACAGTTCTTGGTGTGAGGTAAATTTAGGTTAAGGTGGTATGAAAGTTTGCAATTAAAGCCAGACTTCAACAGTGAGTCATTATGCGTAGAAGATCTTTGAAAACTTTCTTCACTCAACAAATTTGCAGACAATCTTAACTCAATTGAATGTGGAAGCTATTTTAAAATATTGGGCAGGTGGTTTTAATCAGCATGAATATAGTTTGAAAAATTTACTAGCTTGGAATATGGTTGTAAAGTAGGGTCATTGAGATATTGTGATGCCAAGATATTTCATAGCTTTTATGTTGAACTGTATTGATATAGTGTGATCATTTCTTTTAAATATATCAATAAAATGTTTTTGGGTTTTTTCTTGTGCGATTTGAAACAGAAAGTAAAAACTAACAAGTTTGCATACTTGTACATTGTTAAATGCTCCCAGAAAGACATAAAATAATCTGCTTGATTTTTTAATCCATACTTCCATGATAGATTAATAATTTATGGTTAAGGTCAATAGCTAGATGCTGCTCAGCAAAATTAATAATGCTGTTAATAAGTTGTTGTTTTTTTTAAGAATATAACATATTTTATCATCATAGAAAGTGGTAGCTAATGCTACACTAATGCACTTCTTCGACTTTTCTGTAAAATTTTGTTAGTAATTTCTTGGTTTTCTTTTTGTCCATATTACCAATTATGATATTCCTTAATTCTTTTTAATAAAGTCAAAATTTCTATTCTAATAATGGAATTTTGACTCTGTGTCTTTGTCCTTAGTTTAAAGTTTTAAACTTAATTAAATCTTAATTTTAAAACTTAGGTTTTTAAATTTATTTTAACAACTTAGGGCTTTGGATGTATTTTAGTTTTTTCATAGGAGAGCGCATAAATGTAACAAAGAATCATGTATGTTAAAATTTAAATGCAATAAAAAGTATGCCAATTTAATAATTTAGTACATAAGAATTTGTCATGGAAAACTGAAAAATTCTAATGGGGGCTCTTTCGACATTTTCAAAACGACTTTCAGAAGAAGGCTCAAGATGGTAATTAAAATTAGAAACCCTAAACCTATCACAATCATTTTCATATTTAATAGTATTACTATTGATAAATATACTCAACTTAAATAAATTGAAAAATTTTTTACACTGCCTTTTTGAATATACACACACATACCAGTGCCATACCCAGCATTAGTTTGGGTGATACTGTTTATGCAAATTGTTCTTAATCTCTCCCCTCCTCCTCCCTCTGTCCTTTACCCAGCACAGCCCAATATGATTGTGCTGCATAAAGAAAATTTTTATAATATTTACCACTTTAGAATTTAACTTGTGTTCAAATAAATCAATTGCTTTAAAATAAGAAAAGTCAAGTAATATTTCTCCATATTTATCTTTCTCTTCTTTAGTTTCCAATTTAAACACTGGTGGAATAAAATCGGCAAGTCGCAGGAGTTCTGCTATAATTGCATTCCCTCGGGCAACCAATTTCAATAACGTCTGCCCACAAGCATTATTACTTTCCAGAAAATCAATCATTGTAAAACTT